ATTTATTTTTATATATAGAAGATTTCATGCAAATAAATACATTTCATTTCATTTCATTTCATACATATATATACTTCTATTAATACTCGTAACATAGGCATCATTATTTTCCTCAATTAGTTGAAATAATTATTGTTTTCCTTTATTTGTATGCTTAGGTACCTGCTCGTTAATTAAATCCATGAATACGACCTTGAACATATTATTTTCAAATTGAATGTGTCCTATCTATACATATAAATAAAATTGGAGTGTCTGTTTGTAATATTGAAATAACCGTTTTTTACTACATGCATATGAATATAAATACGTACCGTATATATGTATATTCATCACCATCACCAAAATAACATATTTAACAATATTCGTCTGTCTGTCTGTCTGTTTGTTCCGGCTAATCTCTGAAATGGCTGGACCGATTTTGACGGGACTTTTATTAGCAGGCAGCTGATGTAATAAGGAGTAACTTAGTCTTAGGCTACATTCATTTTAGAAAAAATCTTTTATTTCAAAAAAATAAAGTTAAATTCCACGCGGACGAAGTCGCGGGTAACAAGTGTGTTGTTTTCGAACTCTTATAAAGCTGTCCCGGCAAAAATTACAGTTGAAGGGTAGGAAGGTGAAAACTTAGGATTTTATGTATTTTTTAATGCCACATAATCATAAAATAAAATAAAAAAAATTGTCGAAAACGAAAAAAAAAAACTTTTTGGTGTGCGCCCCATTTAACACTTAGGGGTATAAACCTATTCTCAGACCTACTTAATGTACATATAAAATTTCATCAAAATCGGTCAAGCTGTTTCCGAGGAGTATAAACACGAAACCTGTATAAACACGAGAATTTTATATATTGGATAATATATATTGATTATTTGACGCGGTTTTAATTTATATTTTAAAATCTGTTTGTCGTTTGTTGCTCGGGAACTCAGTTGAAAAACTTTCTAGTTTCGAGTTGAAATATGTACAGTATTATCAAAAATAGTTTTTTTATTCGACAATAAAGTAAAAATTATGAATATTTCTCTGCACCATTACCTAATTAAACATTAAATATTGAAGAACATGTAAATAGTTTAAAATTATAAAAGCATACTGCTGATAAAACAATATTTCACCACAAACTATGACGTTATGATGCTTTTTTTTATTTATTCGGGTCAGCAAACAATATGTTACTTAAAATGTGTATGTAACTTAAAATAGATATTTCATATTAACTTACAATATAGTATACAGCTTTTTAATTTCGTGCTACTAAGCTTCACTTGACCTCGGTGGTTTAGCATTTAGCACACTGCTTTACGTCCGATGGTCGCGGGTTCGATTCCTCGCACGGCACAAACATTTGTATTCGTGAGTACGATTGTTTGTATCAGTCTGGTTGTTTTCTATGTAAAATATGTATTTATTTACGAAAAAAATCTATGTATTTGTATCGGTTATCTAGTACCCATAACACAAGCTTTTAGATAGCTTAACTTGGGTCTAGATGGCGCTGTGTGAATTGTCCTGAGATTATTAGTATTATTATTATTACATTGGACTAGCAATTTCCGCCCGCCGAGATTAGCTAGCCAAAGCTAGATAATTGATACAAATACATAGATTTTTTTTGTAAATACATACATATTATAATCAGAAAACACCCATATCGATACAAACAATCGTACTCATGAATAGAAATGTTTTTGCCGTGCGAGGAATCAACCCGCGACCATCGGCGTGCTAAACCGCTAGACAAACGAGGTCTCCAATATGGTTACTTAATTTCATGAAATAGAAGTGACTAGTGAATGGGAGACGTAATAAATATTTTAGTGGTCGTCATTAAAACTATTTAAGTGTATGCAATAATCAGTGAATGCGTAATAAACAGATAACATAAGGCGAACACTTCCTAACAAACGCCCCACCAATGATAAGGGCCGACTAGTGATGTCACTCCACATACACTCGATGATATTATCGATAAACGTTATTGATACCATAGTCTATTGCTTGAAAGTTCGATGACCTCTTTAGACCACTTGGCGCGAATGACTGTTTTGGTATTGTTTAAACTAATTAAATTCTTGGTCTCTTGCATACAATATGTATTATGGAGATATTTTCGCAGGGTTAGTAGTAATATTTAATCACACATTTGACACATTTATAGTGGGACCTTAGAGTGGGAAGAATCATCTTATTTAAATAGATCTTATTGTTCTGTTGGTGATGAAATAGAACTAAAATAGAATTACGGTATCTATTTAAATTCACGACGCCCACAATACTTACCCGCTTGCCGCGTCGATATCGCTTCGGTATTGTCCTATTTATCGACAACTTTCTATCGACTTTTGGCGTCACTAAAACAATATCAGAACTTCATATTATTATGCTGGAGTCGTATACTCAGTGTGTCAATTCAACCATGCTGCAGGCATACCTACCGCAACACTATTTTTCCTTTAAACAATTTACCTCTCCAGATCTAACTGTGTTTAGTCACCTCATACAGTCGTGTTTAACATGTTAATAAGTATAATTAGTGAATGTGATAATTATACAGTCCGGTTATAAAGATATGAATGTATTCAAGTTATCAAGAGGGAAAACATGGTTCAAAGAGGTACGCGCTCCTTCCGACATCCTGTACACATAAAGAATTCGAAATTTGAATAAATTAAATGTGCTGTGTATTGTATGTGTATTATTAATAATTGTTTGTGTAGTGTTGTATCGTGATTGAATATGGATGTGTAGTTTATCTTTGAATATAAATAGATATCCACGTTTATGAAGTGTAATGATTGAATGGAGCAATTATTATCCTTGTTATCAGATACTGAATGAAACATGCATGTAATAATGATGGTACTGGTATTTAGTTTTATACACGCTACCACAATACTGGAGATATTAAAGATTCTAATAGTTTAATAGTAAAAAGTCATTTCAAAATAGTCAAAAGGGTGTTATATACTTACAAGTCATTCTATAGAGTCCATGTGTCATAGCAAATAAACGTAATTCCAATAAATATTCTATTTAATTTCATAATAATATCACTCAGACCAATACAGTCATACTTATGAATACAAATGTTTGTGTTGTGCGAGAATTGAACCAGCGATAATTGAAAGTAATACTAAAATCGCTAACCTCGTAGTCGTCATTTGAAGTCTGGTTCTAATATAGATTTAAGTCAGATTTCATTAGTTAATTGGACCTAGTATTGTATGTATAAGTGAAAGTAAATCGACTTCAATTTAGTACTTTTTTTCATTCACCATGTTTGATTTGTATATTCATCATATAAGCTACATTATTATCACAATTATAACATATATAACGACATTTAATTTATTCAGTTTTATGTAGTAGTTTAAATTATTTATTTATTTATGAACACAGCGCCATCTAGCACCAAAGCTAGTAGTTGTTCTATGGGTACTAGATAACTAATACTTAAATATATATACATAAAAACAAACATGAAATATTTTTTTGTAAATATGTACTTATAATACGTATGACAACGCGAATAATAAAAATGATATGCATTATTCAATCTACCCACTATGAGGCAGGGCAGGCCACTGCCATACAAAGATCGCCAGATGTATGTGTATTATTATGTATATGTATAGCGATATATTTATGTATTTAACCATACTTATTTGTATGTGTATATACACATAGTGTCATACATACTATATATTCGGCCTCGATCCTGTTTTCGCACACTTAAGTGTGCGAAATTTCATAAACGTCCCAGCGCACAATTATCGCATAATGTTTTCGCTACACGTATTAATATACTGAACGAAAACATTCTTTCTCTGTCAGTCGGGATAAACCGTTATGAACAATAATGTTCAAGCACCGTCATTGTGCCTCGACTAGATATACATGGCCATATGACCAGGACAATCGTATTTTCCTCAATTAATGTTAAATTTTATATTTGAATGCAAAATAATGGCGACCGTCACCACAAACTGATGGAGATAGAACAATAGCTCTACATAAAAACAATTCATTAAAAAATCAAAATATCATTATTTATGTAGGTCTATTACAGACTGTTAAGATATGTCAAATTTACCATCAGTTCGGAGACCTTTCAAGCTGAGAAGAACTGACAAGAATCTCTTATTCTTTTCAAATATTGTTGTACATGTTTACAATAATACAAATCCATTTTTAAATTGAAATTTGAGATGCGATTAATTGAGATATAACTGTACAGAGTAAGAAGTTGCTACATTTTAATCGTCAGAAATGGCAATGAATGAATGAATGAATACTTTCTATTGGCGATGTGGTGGACCGAGTTACTGTGCTTCTAATATGGTTGAGTGCAATGATGGCTGGCTCATCCGTCATACCATACTCGGGAACGGGTGTTGATTGTAGGGATTGGTCTGTTCGGGTTACGACCACTAATTAGACTATTTCCTTTTAATAAAATTGCAATATCATATGCCGGTGGTCACACATTTCTGCCTAATTTGAATTGAAAAATTAATCTGTATTTATAATTTTTGTTAACATGTACAACCTCTTTTGAAAGGAATAAGAGCTGAGTTTCTTGTCTGGAAAGCACTCAGAACTATCGGTGATATATCAAATCTAACATATCATAAGATCTGTAGTTGGCCTTCATAAATAAAGACATTTTGATTTGATTTGATTTGATTGGTCCTCTTACAGAAGTGTATGAAAAGTAGAATCGTCGTTACAATAAGTTTTGTTACAAAACAAAATATACTGTTACACGCGTGCTACCTCTTATACCCATATTCGTATTTCGAGAAAACCTCGGCAGGTAGTTCATTCCACAATCTAAGGAAGCTCCTCTGAAGCCGCACTGTCCGAGACCACTGGGGTTGAATTCCCTGTCGATGGGGAGGGGTGCGATGGTAAAAGGCTCATTGCTCTGACTACTGCCATCTGTTTAACAGTCGTGAGTTTATTCATTAATGTATACCGTTTCTTTATTCCAGGAGAGCATACAGGAGAAGCCGTCACCACGGCAGTACGACTGGAGTCCGTCGTCAGAGCGCAGCCGGGCTGAAATCGACAGATGCTTCAGCAATGCGTCTTCGGAGAGCCCGCCGTTCGGCCGGATGAATAAAAGATTAGGTGAGTTTCGATAAATCATATGGAATAGAATAGAATAGAAAATAATTTATTCAAATAAACTTTATTTAAGCACTTTTGAATAAATGGGAAGATGATATTTCCTAAATATTCAATTATTACCAGCTGTATCAAACATAATCCGTAGAGCTATGCTGTAAGCAGTGGCAGTTAGGTACCAAGGGCCCTGGGGCAAATCAAAAAATGGTGCCCCACGGCTCAGCAATGGGGTTTTATTAAAACGCACATATCGTTATCCGTCAAATTGACAACACTGCCACACTGCCCTAAATTCTTACTGTGGCAACCCACAGAAAGAATTTAGGGAAATTCCAAAAGTATAACTTTCGAATTTCTCTCAACTGAGTTGCCATGATTAAAGTCGGGTAGCTACCTGTCATATTTATTTTGAAAGTGAGAGAAATTTTGAAAAGTTCAGTACGATCGAGATTTCCTGGTAAGGGTTTGAGGGCCCTCTGAGCTTGAGGGCTCCGGGGCACCGAAAGTGGAATGTGCTTTGTAACTACCATATATTGCCGAATACTGTAACTACCATATAGTAATTTTTGTAGCTGTGACGTGGTCGTGTGGAATGAGTAGCCAGCCTAGCCCCTAGGTAACTACGCCACTGTTTTTAAGCATCACTTACGAATTCGAAAGTGGAATCCGCGGTAAGATTGTACATTGGTTTTCTATAAAACTCGATAGCGACTGCAGCGCCACACGCTCGAGAGTGGCATGAAGGTAAAACTTCCTTAGTTCAGGAACTTTATATTTGCAAATAGATAAAGTTCTACGCCTTGAGTGGAGCGATGAGTGATATGTGTTGGTAAAACTCTTACAGAATAACAATGCACATCAGACATTTTTTCATATGGCAAGAGGATATTTACCACGATACGATGGCCTCAGTGGTCTAGCGGTTTACCACACCGCCTTAGTTCCGATGGTCGTGTGTTCGATTCCTCGCACGGCACAAACATTTGTTTTCACGAGTATGATTGTATCGGTATACGTGTTTTCTATGTTTGTATTTACGAAAAACAAATAATTTCCTTGTACAAAGTTGGTTATAACAAATTGCTTAATGAACCTTGTTAATATTTCAGGGAACTCAACGGAAACTCTACATTTCCTCAACAATGCTAGAAGACCAACCCATCTCCAGCTGCCAGCGTCGTCGTCTGGCGACAGCCTGGATGTGGAGATCCGGGAACGAGACCTGAGCCATGGAAGGAGTAGAAAGTCCAAGTCTATGATGGCAACGAAGAATAGGATGAGATCTCCGATACCCGCTCCCAGATTGATGCTACATCAGCCTGAAGTAAGAGTAACTACATAACATCCCTATTTTTTAACGTAGAGAAAATATTCATACATTTATTCGACTATTAAAGTCAATAGAAAAGATCTTTTATGGGAATAGGTATAAAAATTTTGAATAAGATACCAAAGGATATACTGGAATTATCCTTAAATAAATTCAAAGCATATTACTCACTAAACGATTACTTGAATGACGATCGTGTGTGGCAATAGTTGTTCATTCACGGGATTTTCATTTAATGTTAGACGTATACACCTATATAAATATAAATTGTAAATAAACTGGCTCATAAAAAATATATATTCAATTGAGTTTCATGCCAGTTCTTCTCAATTGGATCTATATATTGAACTGGACGGTAGGCAAAAATTTTTACGTACAAACGCGGCTAAAATGTCCTACATGAATAAATTATTTTTTAATCTGAATTTGAATCCAACCGACCGGGGGAACGGATGGGGTATGTGAGATTCGTACTCACTAAAAACTCCACGCTGTTCTTCGGTACGCCAAGTTGCATGCCATGGGAAGCACATTTCGTCTGTTAAATAAAAAAGTGCCATTTTTCAAAATTAGCTAGAATTACGTCCTATATAAAAATATAAGTCAATAAAATTAACCACGCCGTCTTAATCATTATCTAAATACTTTTAAAACGATATATAATACTTCTGTGTAAATTTAAAACTTTAAAGGAAAAAATAATTTAATTTAATTAAAAAAATAAAACTTTAAATGCATGTCTTGTAAAATATACATTTTGAATACTGCCATTTTTCTATTTAACCGAAGATTTATATTCTACCGTGACAGCTGTAGCGGTGGCCAGCTATGTGAGGTATTTAGAGCATATTAAATAACATCCTTACAAAATCTTCTTTAAGATTAATCATAGAATAGAATAGAATAGAAAATCATTTATTTAAATAAACTTACATTGAAGCATTTTTTAATAGTCATCATACTTTTTTTAATCTACCGCTCATTCGGAAACCTGTCTCATCACAAGAAGAACGAGAAAGAAACTTGTGTGTTGCTCTTTTAAATAATTTTATTTTTATTTTACAATTTAAGTTTAAGTGTGTGAATACAAACTACCGATTAGAGAATATAATAATAAGTTGTGGTAGCTCAATAGTTAATATTCGATCATAATTAATTTATCATTCAGACTATAGACAATAATATCAAAGACAAATGTGTCAATTTGACCACAGACTAAAAATGAACAAAAGAGTATATATAGGTGTATACGCGCGTCAAATACATGGTATTGTGTGCAATGTTTTATTTTTGTACTTTTTATGAATAATAAAAAAAATATTCTACACTCCTCTATATGAACTGTAAGTGTATAAAATTTCATACTCTTCAGACCGCGCAGTTTTTATAAAGAAGTGTATAAAGTTTTTGCTTTACTTGTTAGTATATAGATAATCCAGGACAATTATATAGCGCCATCTTACTCCGAGCTATGGGTATTAGACAAGGGATAGAAACACTTACAAACATCGTTTTTTTAAACACGTTGAAAACTTCCAGACCATTAAAAACAATCATACTTATGAATACCAATGTTTTCATTGTGCATCGAACCCACGACCATCAAAAGTATGCTGCACCGTTTAATCACCGAGTTCGTTGAACCATTTATATATTCTATGCCACCTTTAATATTAACCCTGTAGATAGTATTCTAAGATTTAATAGATTTAAAAAAAGGTAGATTAAAAAAAATGCCATGTGTATTGAAAAGTGCTTCAATGTAAGTTTATTTGAATAAATGATTTTCTATTCTATTCTAATACTAGCGTATTGAAGCATACATACATACATAATATTGGATGTAGTTTGGAAGCCTAGTGTTTAACTATTCGGCGAACAGACACCAATTCGGATTTTTTTAATTTGATCACTGATGGAGTAGAACCTGACACTTCTTTTAGCGGTGATCAGGTTGCAGAACTTAATATTTGTGGTCTTACACATGATAATGTTAGCGGAATTTTATAGTAAATCCATTAAGTAAGAAATGTATATTATCCGCAAAAAAATAGCAATTAAGTCGAACAAATTCAATATACATATATTCTGTTCACCTTAGATATTTTACTTTTGTTACCTAGTAATATAGTTAGTGAAGCTATATACAGTATATCTAATATACACTGTACTATAATTCCTTGTTCCGTCTACAGATGCAAGTATTCTGCGAAGGTCCAGTGAAACGTACCAAATTCTCAGAAAACGGCAAGAAGAGCAGAAAAAACTGGTGTGAGTGCTATGTGGTGCTGACACAAACTGCACTGGTGTTTTATAAAGACAAGAAGACTTACTTCGCATCTGTAAGTAGACTTTTTAAATAGATGATCATGGAATGATGCACACGCCTGCTCTAACGGTTTACGCTGGCGGGTGTTAAATACAATATATATATATATATATATATATATATTATTGTTTTTTCTTTTTCTTATTGTATTTCTTCTATGTGCACAATAAAGAGTTTATTATTATTATATAATTCAATATAAGTATATTATATATTTCAAATTCAATTCATAATATTTATTAATACTATTGTTGTTCGCGACTTTATTTCCGTTTATATTCGTATCTCGCATGTGTTTTTAGTGATTAAAAAAATGGTTTTATTTACCACACACTATCGTACAATAAAAAATTAACGTGCAGTGTACTGTGCTACCCGAGGAAAATTAAAAAAAAGAAACTTGAGCAAAGGTCTGCAGAGCCTTCAACTATTCAATCCTTCAGCGGGAAAGGCTCTGTGTTTGTATTAATTCATTAGTATTATTATATTTGAAATTGTTTAATAATTTATTTTAACAAAAAGACGACATCTTTTATTGTCTTAACAAAAAACCGGAAGTTGGTCAAGGTGAAATAATCATAGATAATAAAAAATAACAGAGAACACAAAAGTTGTACAGAGTAAGTTACTTTAAATATAGAGATTAATATATTCTAACAATTTACAATTACATCCTTATTGTTCCATAGGTTTTTACGTGAATCTTAATACACAAATAGACAATTTTGTTATTTTCGTTCTAATTATGCAATTAAAATATGTTTTTACATTTTGAATCTTATTTTTATGTTAATAGAGCACACCTCCGAAACCTGGCACGCCTCCGAGCCCGACAGCACCGCGTGCTGAGCTCGTGTTACCATTACGTCACGCCAACGTGGACCTTTGTACGCAGATGCACACTAGAAGGTTTGTAACATTATTTATTTTCTTTCTTCTTCCACATAACATTCTAACATATAATTATTATATTTTTGGTTTATTTATTTTTCTTGTTATGTGACCCCCTCGGGTAAAGCCTTCTTCATGTTCCGCCAACCCTCTCTATCCATGGCAGTTTGCATCCAGCCTTCTCCTGCATTCTTTATATCATCAGCCCATCTTTTTTTGTCGTCCTACTACTCTTTTGCCTGTCGGGCCCATCCATTTTGTTGTTACAATAGTCCACCTTATGTCTTTGTAACGTGCCAAGTGCCCTGCCCAGTTCCATTTTGTTTTAAACTAAACTGGAGTGCATCTCTCTTGTAATAATAAACAATACTAATTTAGTAGTAGAGGATGATAATATGAGCTTGAAATCAAGTCAGTTAGCCAATTTTGGCAAGTGGCAAATAACCACGATGTTTTCTAGGGGGAACCGCGTAGAGATCAACCTGACACAGCACATAGCAATAGAGTTATTATTCCACATTTGTAACAATCTCCTTTTCTCACGACCTACATACTACTATAAATAATATATTACGTAGCGCCACCTCATCACATCATATATGTTGGAGTTCCCATCAATATTGTAGAAAAAATCCGATATTTTAAAAAGATATTAAAAGAAGGTAGTTTGTGTTTAGTACTAATGAAGTACCCAATGTAAAGATTATTACAAATATTGTAAATAGCGCCATCTAGTATTTATAGACCAACCTACTACACTGACTTATACGGTCTATAAATACGGAGGTCGGTAGTTGAATAATCCTCTTTCGTTGGGTGAGCCGCGGCATTCAGTCGGCAAGCGCAGAGCGTGCCGGTTGTGTTTTGGATACTAAAGTGAATTGTATTAGGAATGGATTTATCCCGGTCTTAGTTGGGCTTGGGGGGAAGCTGCAAGTAGTGTGTTAATGCATTCTAAAAAGGCCTTTTAAACCTACACCTGTGTCACAAGTCACGGGCGCTACTTGGAGTTTCCCTTAGGGTAACCGGCTTCAAATTCTAAGTCTTCATCAGTGTGCTTACATATATGACTACAGTGATGAGGATAACCATAAATGAATACATTAGAGGAAGTATGAAAGTGGCACCGGTGTCAGAGAGGTTGAAGAGTAATCGTCTATCATGGTATGGACATGTAATGCGTAGGAATGAAGATAACATTTTAAGAAAGGTGTTATATATGAATGTGGATGGTTATAAGGGCAGAAGAAAGCCGAAAAAGAGATGGATAGACTGTGTGAAAGATGATATGGTAAGAAAGGAGGTAAATAACGAGATGACTGCGAACAGGGATGAATGGAAGAGAAAAACATATTACGCCGACCCCAAATAAATGGGATAAGGAAGAAGCCGATGATGAGTGATGAGGTTACCCACTGCGCTACAGTGTCGGCCAGACTCCTATTCTATTGTTGTACGTAACTCAGTGCAAAGTCTATCTGGATAAAATAAATTATTCATATGGAAATCCATTCAGGATTTGATAAACAGTCTTATATTGATGTCCTTATCGCACACATGAGACCATTGATTACGGAGACTGATTAGACTATTTGCTTTTACAATATCATATGCTGGTAGTCACTCTATTTGAATGTAAAAATGAATCTGTATTATTGTAAACATGTACAACATTTATTTGAAAAGAATACGAGCTGAGTTTCTTGTCAGTTCTTCTCATCTCGATATCATTCCGAACTGACGGTAGATTTGACATATCATAAGTCTGAAATAAACCTACATGAATAAAGATATTTTGAATTGAATTGAACTGGTTGTTACTTGATTGCCACAATAAAAAAAAACACGAGTACCTTCTGAGCCGGATATTCTACACCTCAGATAGGTATAACTCTAATAACTGATAAATTTGATAAGAATTATTGTTATTTAATTATTTTTATATAAATATGATTGTGAAATAAATTTTAGATATATCTTTACTTAGTACAAAATGAAATCGTTTCCGCTGTCTGCTCGCTTTGATCTTTTAAACTACGCAACGTATTTTAATGCGGTTTTTAGCTATAGATAGACTGATTCAGATATATAGCTATATAGATCTTCCTCCTCGAGTCCCCACGCGGTTCCCTCTGGAAACCATCATGATACCTCATGAATTTGTCATAATAGGCTAACTGACCTGACCTCGTCTTCATCTTATCATCCTCCACGGGTGCCCCGCCAGCGTATACCATTAGCGCAGGATAGTGCACCATTCAATATTCATATTTGTAAAACAAAATAGTTTTGTCTGTAATAGCTGAGACGGCGGTTTCACTCGCATGTAATTTATAGTCTGTGTTATTATATATATAGTTATAAGCTATATCACTGTAATGTTTCAACAAAATTCGTTCAGTATTCTGCGTGAAGGACTCAGATCCATTCATACCAACAAACTTTCATTTATAATATTAATAAGATTTATGTAATAGTGCAATAAAGAATATATGTATAATTTTATTTTTGTGCAGATATTTAAAATCAATAGTGATCACGGTCGGGCGGGATCAGTACCTCATACAAGATGAATGTGAATCTATCGCCAAGAATTGGTATAACAAAATAAAACAAATAATTTACAAAATGGTAAGAAAATTTATATTACTCGGAAGTGTATAGAAGAACATATAATAATAATAATAATAATCCTGGACAATTCACACAGCGCTATCTAGACCCAAGCTAACCAAACTTATGTTAAAGCTAGAAAACTGATACCAATACTTAGATATTGATTTTGTAAATACATAATATACATAAAAACAGCCAGTATTACTGTTATGTACTTGTCCAGCAATAAAGATAGGCTACATAAAGTAATGAAGAGTTAGGTGTTGTTTTTGTAAATTCATACATAATATACATGAAAAATCATACTTTTGAATACAAATGTGCGTATTGTGCGAGGAATCGAACCCATGGCGAACGGAATTAAAATGGTGTGGTAAACCGTTACGCCACCGAGGCTGTCATAAAGAGACAAGTGTACAATTTTAGTAATGAAATTGTTACGGCAAATAAACTGTTAATCCATCGGATGGAAAGTAACATCGACTACATGAACAGCATAACAAATTATATGACGATTCAAACTTCTCATGCTTCCCCAATCTTGAGGACTAAGTTATCTAATACCTTATAATTTACTGCCATATCTCAACTTTAAAATTAGAACACTTCTTGCAAAATAAGCAAGAAGTAGAGATATCCATGCAAAAGATATAAGGACTGATATAATTGCTGCTGATCAAAAATTAATAAAAAATATCTATGAATGTTAAAAATATATTGGTATATTATTGACGGCCTCGGTAGTCTAGCGGTCTACCACACCGCTTTACATCCGATGGTCGCAGGTTCGATTCCTCGCACGGCACAATTGTATTCATGAGTGTGATTGTATCGGTCTGGGTATTTTCTATGTATAATATGTATGTATTTACGAAAAAAAAATATCTATGTATTTGTATCAGTTGTCTAGTACCCATAACACAAGCTTTAGTTAGCTTAACTTGGGTCTAGATGGCGCTGTGTGAATTGTCCTGAGATTATTATTATTATTTTTTTTTTATATGTATTATATATCTCCCATTGATGGGGTAATAGACTGATCATTGCGGGTAAAAATCACCAAACAATGACAGTATAAATTATGAATGATGAGGATGGATAATTTTTTTATTATTATTATATTCGATTAGATGCTATAAAGCACAGTATGCTTGTACAAATGAATTCAGCTTTACTAATTTATTGTATTTAGAGCAAGAAAGACGAAAATTAGAGTTATGGTTCTGTACCACGTTAATAACTATGTTAGCGTGATAAAGAACCCTAATGTGGTTTTCAATAAGACCAATTTAGCAAATCATGTACTTAATTCTACGGTAGATAATATAATGTATCCTAATGTAAAATTATAAAGAAAATGTTAAGCTTCTGTTAGAAGCATATTGTAGTAAAATAAAGATAGTTTATATAATCAAGCTATAGTAATATTATAGATGATGGAACAAAAATTCAATGTACATAACTATGTATATTTTATAAACAGGGTCCTCCAGCGTCGGAAGAAAGCTTACCACCACCAATTAAGAATAGCAGCACGGATCTAGAAAGTCTGGGTAGAACTCCTCCACCATCCAGACATAATAATAGAAACAAAAGCAAAGGTGAGTTAGAAATTTAAATTGCTCTGCATTGGAAAATTTAGTAATAAGTTGGGAGCTTATAATTTTGCCATTGAAAGTCACAAGTCGCTGTATCATCAAATCATTTCATCTCATTATCTATGGAAGTAATATGTGGAAATTTGGACATGCAACGTTAATACCAGGTAAATTAGGTTGATTTTGCATTTAGGTTTTCAACATTTGTATAATACTACATCACTTTGACTAATAAGTGAAGATGAAGAAGTTACAATAAGAGTATTATACAAATAAATGTGAGTAATTGATTTTTATATTATTTTTAATGTCTAAACAATAATGTAGGTCCCAAAATTAACCCTTGTGATACTCCACCATATTAATGATTGTTACCCCGAGCTCTAACTGCAAAATTAAAACAAATTGAGGAAAAGTATAAGCATAATAACATAAAATCTCTAATATAAAGGTAAAAATTAAGCAAATAATTTCAATTTACTAATTAAAGAAATACCTACAAAAATTAGATTTCAGAATGTTTGAATAATTTGATTATTTAAATGTTTTATATTGAATTTTGATTTTAATAAATAGATTAGTGCATATGTCATATATTAATCTTTCTTTACTAATATACAAAATTTTTACTATGATACTAATGAACATAATATACCCAAAATGAATTAGATTGTAATCATTTTGTGCGTCAGTGTGTTACAAAAAAAGTACAGCGAAGAATATTTCTGTCATTATTATTTTAATATTCTGATTGTTTTTCATATTTTATTATTGTCAGTTGTGATATTATATCTATTTATATAAATAAACTAACATACCTATCTAATCATTTAGCAAATTGATTATTATATCTGGGGGATATAATTATGTCTCGACTATAAGTAATATATCCATAACCACGCCTAAAAAAATAATGAAGAGGCGGTAAAATGGACTAATTAATTGCATAGATTATTGACTTCATTATGTACTTATATAGTAATAGCTTATTTATGTACAATGACGTCCTAAAAAATTAATTAAAGCTTATTATTTTAATTGACGTCAGTTCATTGGTTAATCTGTTGGCGATTACTTAATGGCTTCAACATTTTCACAAATAGCACATATTTTATTTATTATATCATTATTAACTTCCCTGTTGCTAGCTAGCATATTTTAATTTGTATTTACATGTAAACATATAGCCTATTTTTGTTTGACACAGTCAAATATAAAACTATTATTTATATTCTTATTACATTCATTACTGGTGTTTATAATAGTCTGTACGAATAGATGCTGAAACGTTGTAAGGTTTCTAATATGCTTTCTTAATACAGTAACCTCTTTAGGATTTTAATTGGGTACCTCCCTTTCACCAATTTCAGGCAGATTTGTAAGATATGTTTTTGTTGAAGGGTTAGTCGTAAAGGGGTAAAGGGTGATCCAGTAATTTCACAGCTATAAGGTTAACTTTGTCTTTCAAAATGATAATCATGGTACCATGAACATCGCATGATGATGTGATACCCGTAGACAACGGTTACGGAACACTTAGCATTTGGACTTACTTTAACTAACGAATTTTTTTCGATTCTATTTATTACTTAAAAAAATAGGATAAAGTTTAAATTAGTCTCATATTTTGCCTTCGCTCTTCCTTCAATTGAATACAAACTTAGTATCTTGTCCATTCTTACGATTATATTTATATTGTTAATGAGGCGGTTAAATAAATATAATGCTATTAAAAATTAATTTTGAATATACACAATATATATTCAATGAATTTTTAATTGTCTACCACCAATGATTTGACCACAATATCCATACAGATAGTGTGGTCAAATCATTGGTGGCATAGAATATTGTAAGGCAACTGATACGCCAACTCATTCAATTTACAAACAATGCAGCCTATTATGTATTTTAGAGACCCATATTATATATACCTTCTATAGATTAACATGCATATGAAATAATAATATAAGTTGTCTGTGTGGTCACTGATGATGTCAATCTGAAACGGTAGCGCCGATACATCACCCCCCTTGCTAGTAGTCCTCCTTCATGAAGGTGGGCAACATCTTGATGGGCCACAAACGTTTTCAAACTTGCGTTGTGACTCGACTCCAACTGCGTCACCCTCAAAGTCAGGTTACTCCTGGTCCGTCTGTATTCGACAATGTCTGTGCTGTTTAATGGCGTATAGTAGACGGGAAACTGTCTAACTGTTCTGTCAGCTTTAACTAATCGGTTATTGATAAGGCTTATGTTTGATAAAGACTGACATGACTGATTTTGTCTGCTACTACTACTTGATACTAAACTAGGTTTTTTACCGATGTGTTGTTTACACACCAAATAGGATGCTGAGCGGAGCGCGTTTACCCTTTAAAATTGAATAATTTTCAGTAGCGCGTAAATATTTTCCAATCTAAGGCAACCTTGGACTGGAAAATACACCCTTTAAAATACCCCAAAACTCTCAAAACCCTCAAGGACCGATCGGAATTTTTTTGAGTGGTCTCCATTGGTCATGCCGTTTCGGAGGAGTATCGTTACAAAGAGTGCAAATCTGATATCTAAGATCGCTAAGCGCCTCGCCCCTCCACTCAATTAATATGAATAATTTTTTAGACCTCACACGTAGTCATGACGTATATTATGTAGGTTTATATAGTAGGTTTATATATAGATATACATATCCTATATTCAGTTGAACTGCAATCGTGTCCAAAGTACGGTTCACTTGTAACTATATTACTCTTTACAATTGTTATAAATCTGTTTAACAAATTTTGTATCAGGAACATCTTAGTTCATAACTCAAATTGTTATTATGCGGAACACTAGTGAAATTCTACCCATATATTTCGTCAGTTCGTTCATTTGGAAAGGTTAGATAAATTTTTTTTATATATATGCTAGAATAAGTTCAAACCTCAATAAAAGTCTGCCTGGATGTACGTGCCTGACTAAAGGATCAGGAATAATGCTCGCAATCGTCGAACTTGCTTAAATAGGTGAATAAAAGTACAGTAAACAAGAGATATATATTCTTTTGGCTTATTCATAACATTTCCTATTATATTGTTCCCATTTGTCTGACCGCAAGACTGTGTTATATGTATGGATAAAATTCTATTTTTGGTCCAGAATATGATCTATTTGCGTAGCAAATTTCATTCGAATTCGTCCAGAAATGTTCACGTGCGTATGTGAAAATTACATGGAGAACACCAGTTCTTCTCAACTGAAGTAGCATAGTAAAAATAAGTATATTAATTACTTTTATAAATTTGAATATTTAAAAAAATAACATAGCATTACGTTTAAAATGTTCAAAGTATTGAAAATCCTTTGTCTGCATAACTAATGTCATATAAGGACGTTGCCTAAATAATCGGTTGCAATAGGCTTTATTCAATAAACATTTCTTAATAAAATATTTGAGTTCAGTTAAAGTATTACGTGAAATTTAATACCTATTCCAAAGAAGATATATTAACTTTATCTAAATGAAATTTAGTGTCTGAAAGCTTATTGCTTAGCATACTTACGAACTTAGCAACTGTATTAGTGGAATTAGAAACAAAATTGTTTATTATGTGTATTTAGTATAACGAAAATGATTGTCAAACACAACTGGGACAATAATGTGAGACATCGAAAAGGTCTTCACTCGGTATATGCTGTGACGAGGTGCCACGACACTGGTATTCTTGTTGTGATATTATGCTGGTAATTACGTATAACCTTAGAATCTAATTGTTTCTTAAACAACAACCAGAAAACCCCAATCTCAGGTTGAGTTACTGTTAATTATATCGAAAACATAATTGTAATGGTTAACTTTTGTTCGCATCCAGTTTTCCTAATCATGACGAATACGTTTCTCAGTATTATGAAGTTGTTTTCCTCGTTCTGTTCGATTGTTGCCTCTGTGGGCAGCTTCTCGTGATTTGCGTTAGAATCCGTACATTGTGTTCTAGAGCTTTGTTGAAGTTATACGGAAGTGTACGCTAAATTATATAATTTTTGTTCGTCTATAACAAACATTTCATACGCTTTGTAACCATTTTGTTTATACTTATCATTTTTCTTACAACATCGGGTGTATAAATTTAGATATTACTGTCCAGTTCAATATGTTTTAGTACTTTTTATATTGCATTACTTTTAAGACGTGTTAAAATAATTAATCCAACTAAACAAGGAATTACTTAATTAATTTGTATCGCTCGTTTTTGTGCGGTTGGTAACAGTGGATGTGACGTCATTTAAATATTATATACCAACCTCTATATAATTAAAAGAGGATACAGTGGCACAGAAAGTATCCTTATAGCACTCGTTGGTCGTTCATCTTGCAAAACATGACCATCTTGTGTGGGTGTGTGGGCGATGGGTTCCGACGGCTCAATTCATGTAAGTCACTTTAAAGTTCCCTGATAAAGATGGCCTCGATGGTTTAGCAGTTTTGCACATCGCCTTGGTCGCTGGTTTGATTCCTCGCATGGTAGAAAAGTTTGTATTCATTAATATGATTGTTTATATCGGTCTGGGTGTTTTCTATATATGTTTTGTGAGTATTTACAAAAAAAATATGAGAGTTTTTGCGATATTTTTACCCGTTATTTTACTGCTATATCTCAGCGTTTAAAGTCAATGATAGCGTACAAAGTAATCCACTTGGCGGCCAAAATAGACGGGATAAAAAGAATTTCTATAATCACCTTTATATGGATTATATTATGGGATTAGTGAACGGGTGCTGCTTGTAGGGACATGTCTGCTCTGATAACTATGACTGATTTATTTTGTCACTCAGGTAATTATTTATTTATGAATTTTTTGCTATTTGTAATCACGTAAAATTCTTAAAGTAGCAATATTTATTTAAAAGAGAACACGCAAGTTTGATGCCCATTCTTCTTGTGTTGAGTCTGCGTTCCGAATAAGTAGTAATATAAAAAAATATGACATTTCAAAAATGCTTATAAATTTATATGAATGATTGTTTCCGAATGACTGATTTAAAAAAATAACTATGACTATTTTAAAGTGCGGGAATTAAGATTATTTCAATTCTATTCTATTATTATTTAAATTAAAGGAGAAAGTCTTGATAATTACATTCATTGACGTTATTGTTGATTAACTATTGATGTTATCGGTACATAGTGCGATGTTATTACGTACGTAAATACTTATTTGTCACTGATATTGTTTTATGTATATATAGTTCAGACTAGTCATCAAATCATGACAAAATTCGTAGCGTCATGTCGGGTCGGTTATTTCGTAATCCTAATATTTGTTTGTTTGTTACGGTTTTACTTGTCCTTAGCATTTAGGATGAAGAAAAGGCTAGGCTACTCTTTTATGATTTCAAACATGATCATGCAGACCAAGTCGTGTACTGAAGCTAGTGAAGTAGTAGGTTTATTATTGTGCCCACAATTTCATACAAATTCACTTTCACATATAATAAACTAGGCTAAAATTATCTTGTTAAAAGAAGAACAGGCAAGTATCATGATCATTCTTCTTGTGATGATTCTGCGGTCTGAATAGTGGAATAAAAATTTATGACTATTCAAAGGTTTTCATTTAAAAATTGGTTGGAGGAATTAGGTTGAAAATTTCTCAGAATATATTGTTATGTATGAGAAATTAATATCCAAACGAGTAATCATTTTTGACACTATATTGCAAAATACTAGCTACTAATTTTATGAATTATTTATTCATAATCTTTATTGCACCAAATACAGAAAATAATTAAAATGGTATAATACATTACTTTGTAATTTTGTTATTGTCAATTTTTTATGTTTAATTTGTTAGGACAGTTTTGAACTTTTTTTTCTCTTTAAATTTTGAACTTAGCAAGCTTAAATGCATTGTCGTTGGTTTTTTATTTTTACTTTTTTTTTTTTGTTTTAAAGCTATATCAGAATAGCAGGGAGGGTGGGCTCACTGCCCCCATCTGAGTTGCATATCATTTTGTGTCAATTAATTTTATTATAAACCTCTCAAGTTTTATTATAAGCAGCCATTGTAATAGGTTATTATTTGAAACAAATTAAAACGTTAATGATTAATCACTAAGCAATTTCTTCCAGACTACCTTTGTGTGGATAGAGAAAGTAGAGGTAACAAAAGAATAGCTGGGAAAAATAATAAATTGTTTCGTATTTTTTAAATTCGTCTTTGCAGTTTGTTTATGGTCAATAAATGGCGTCGACAAATTACACAAAAATTCATAGGCTCTGCTAGTATAGACAAGTATCGACAATGATAATGGTATTTTTAATTATTCACACAACTATGTTATCGGCTTTTGATAAACCTAGATATTGTATCAAGCAGATTAGACTTTGCAGTCTTTACTGCAGTACTTATACAATTATTAATCGATTACAAGTCGATGTAACATACGTGCACTGTAAGAACTTTATGGTGAAATTATTAAACATTTTTTATTACTGTTAAAATCAGCAATCGATCGATTAGTACCGTGATTGATCAAATACAAAATTCGTGCAGTGTAAGAACTTGATAGTGAAGTTATTCTATAGTTTGTCACTTTTATAATAAATCAAAATAACCTGTTGATTAGTGCCATATTTGAATCGAATATAAGTTAAATATAAAATTCGTGCAGTGTTAGAACTTTATGGTGAAATTATTGTATAGTTTTTAATTAGTTTTATAATCTTTAATCGATTGATTAGCACCATGTTTGAATCGAGTAACCAGAGAATATATGAAAAGTGCCGTTTAAGAACTATATGGTGATATTGTTATGTAAATGGTTACCAAAATGAATAGTCAGACAATGGTGTTGAGAACTGAAATTCAGGTGCCGGGAAACTCTTCGAAAATAAGCCCAATTAAACATCGGCCGTCCAGGCTGAACAAGTTATTTGGATCTCAATATTTTTATAGGAAAAGCTTCATTATTCGTATGTTTATCAATTTATTTTTTTGTTTTACCTGCGTTATATAAACAACCATCCATTGTTATTATATTATATTATATTATAAATTATTTCCGATTTATATACGGACCGAATATATATTATGTATACAGACATATGTATATTGTAAATACACGGTAGTGTTTATAAAATTAGAGATGTCGTATTTTTTATGCTTTATTTTAAAATAATTATTTGATTCCTAGAAACTATAAGTGCGCGCAATTTTCCTAAAAAGGGGTAGGTACAAAGATTTTCTTTCATGTATTACGTACGTGTTAATATATAGATGAGATATAAATCTGACATTAATATATCGAACGACTCCATCTGTTCTTTTGAGACAAAAGGTTCTTCGCTACATTGGCCATGTTATAAATTCTAGCCTCTATTTTATGGAAAGCGGTAACCGTCGCTATATACATAAATATATTTTTATATACATTTAATCGTATATATATATGTTTATATATATATTTAAATGTATTATATTATACATATTTCTCCAAATCATATAAAATTTTTATGGAACCAACAAGGTAAGACTTTTTTCTCTTGTTGCGTCTCAATTACGTATAAGATTACACTTTAATTCCACGTGGCTATAAATATACTTATATCTGAAATTAGGCTGCACTACGTATCCAACGCGATAACTTTTTATCGATATCGATAATAGATAATCTATTTATCTTTCTCCAATACATAAAATCATTATAAAACATCTCACTTTACAAGAGATACGTCTATTAAATATTCAAGTTTTACAACTAAACAGCGTATGACCACGCGATTCAGTGACTTAAAATCAAACCTATTTACTAATACATTGAGTGCAAAATGTAAAGGACTTCCTACAAGGTAATTAATGAAATATTTACTTCTACAATGTCTACAGTGTCTTAATCAATGGATAATGGTTCTAAATGTTTGTCAATAATGTACGCCGACTCGGTTTTCTCTGATCCAACATTCAGAAATGCTATTGTGTCATTGTTTCTGTTTTATCTCTAGATATCACGATTAAATCCACTTCTATAAAGTATTATCTTGGGCACGGAATTACAACGTTTCTTTAAATAAATCTTATCTGGTATTTCATACTGTTCCGAATACTTTAGATACACGTACATCTAACTCTTTCAAACGTTAAATAATCATTGTATTAAAAACATATCTAATAACCTTATGAATGTCAACTAATAACATGAAATCAATGCTTAATTATTAACCTACGTCCTGAACTCTATAGCTTTGCTGGGTAACAAATCTTTCAACCTCTTTTTAATATCTACATATCTTTCATCTAACATTTCTTCTTGATCTCCTACAGCTACCTGTCTTCCACTTTCTGTACTTTATCAAACTCTTGACTTCCAGTCGGTGGAAGCAGCAACGAAGATCTCAGCGACTCCACAGAAATATCCATTCAGAAGTCACAAGTCAAGAGTAGATTGAAGAAATTCTTCGCTAAACGGCCATCTATGGAGGTTCTTGTGAAGAAAGGCATCTATAAAGGTTGGGCTATCTATTAAAATGGTGTGTTGCTTTTGCCATATATGCACTTTAGTTAGAGAAAATATTTTTTAAATAACATGGTATGGTATGGTTATATATACCCCGTTTATTTTATTTAGCGATGGACCTGTTCTTTATATATATATAACTAACTTGTTCATCAGAATTTTACTAAAATTTGACGGAAGTATCAGTGTAGTTTAGTGTTTGATTATTTCTTGGCTAAATTCTGCTTCAACTAATAAGTACTTCGCATGGCCAACTATAGAAGATGGTGATTATTTCAACTTGGTTATGGTTTCTATAGCGTATTATCAATATACCCATAAAGGTAACAAAATTTGGTGATATTTGAAACTTTGCTGTACCAGAGGTGCAATTAACCAAGGACTGTACATACGATTTCAAAGAAATTGGGAATGATGAAATGTATCATTTAAATGAGACAATTGAAGCATAAGTACTGGAATATATTTACGAAGCAAGAGTAGTAGTACCAATGTTAGAAACGATTGCAACATTGAATATTGTAAATAATTTCTAAGTCGCTGCAATACTAGCTGTAGTGCTACAATGAAAATATGGGGCAATGGACGAGAAAAGATATAGTATATATGGAAAATATAGAGAATACTATAATATGGTCTCAACGGATGCTGTAGATGAGGAGAATGTAAAAAAGGACGGATATATGGTATTTTTGCTGGCTTTTGTAATTTTGCTTTTCGAATGTTTGTAAAATATTTTCTATTTAATTTATTTTTACTGTTGTTTTATTTTCTTATAACCTTTGTTGAGTCGTGAGTTGCTTGAAGAAATAACTACACGGTGAGCAACCAGTTGAATTGCAATCTAAAACGAAACCTGAAGTATGATTATATACATATGCAACTCCTTCAAATTTTAAAGCTATTTGACATTGCGAACCTTAAAGTTTTTATTTGCAACTACTAAATGGTTTTACCAAACTTTTCTTTTCTAGTTTATTTTATTCAAATTATTTAATTATTGCTGCTTTGTGGAATAAAGTCCCAGCTGTTTTATTATATAAACTATAGATTTGCAATCTTTATGAATAATTTATTGTTGTTACTGCAATTGTAAGTTTGCAATGAAATAGTTTATTAAATCTTTCTTCGTCAAAATAGAAATTACTAAATCTCTATGACACAGATTGTAAAGACTGGTTTCTCATCGTATAGTACGTGCTTTATTATTATTTAAAAAACTTAATTGTAGGAAACAGCGATGGAGGTGGAACTAAAAATAATAGGTTTAGTAAAACAGGAATAATAATACTCTTAAAACAATAACTGTTTGTGATGATAGTAGAGAACGACTGTTTTATATTTTATTATTCCCGGTGGATGGTTGTTTATTTTAGTAAATTATCTAAATGTGTGGTTTTATATTAATACTTTAGTAATATCTTAAATATTTCACTTTATTATTAACAAAGAATATATTAAGTATGTTGTATAATTTGTATTATAATGGTGTCTTCATTTAGTATTTTAGTGTGTTTAATTATTACTACTAGTTGTAGCATTAATTGGTTTAATGTACTTTAAGATTATGCTTAAGTTATTTATCTAATCATTCTAGATTGATTTAGTTTACTAAAGCATAAATAATTTTAAATATTTCACCAATAATTGGCGCAAAGTCTTGCGTTGTCTGTTTATTCCCAAAAAATAGCTGGTAGAGAATACATACGAATTTAAGCTCGCCTTTCGAGTCTTAATAATATCACAAACAGACTCTGTGTCTGTATAAATAAATTATTAGAATATTCTTAGGAAGAAAAATATAACACCTTCAACTATAACACCTTCAGTCAACATTCAAGTCTGCATCCTTATCGGGATGAAGTTCATTCCCACAACTATGGTGTACAATTGATTTGTGGAAAATTATTCAGGTTAAACTGATGTAGCTTCATATTTGACTCTTACTTACGTACTCACTATAATTGTTAAGCTCCTGTCGAATCATTAAAGGTTTCTTTAACCCTATATTTTCAATCATTATATTTGACATCTTTGACCATGACGTAGGTTTCATCAGTGATATTAACTTTTGTAGCCTAACTACCTATTATTGCACTACCAGATTTAATACTTGTTCTAATTTTGTCAGATGTATTGGAAGGTTTCTTTTTCTACCCTATTTTTTCAAATCCCCAATTTTTCTGACTACCCTAGAAAATTTAACGAAACTTCTATAGTTTCGTCTTTCGCTACAATTATTTCTACAGCGTACAAGTCGTAGAGTGCGGTGCTTTAGCCGCTGCGTTTCGAGAAAACAATTTTCGGGCACGCAAACTGTAAGCTAATTAAATTCCAGCAAATACAACTGCAGGTATAAATATATTAGATGCCAGTAAAACCTAAGACCTACATGAACAGTATAAATAGAAGCGCCTTAGGCGTGAATGATATAAAATCTTCAAAGTGCCAAATTCGTGTCTACAGATGAACCTGTCTTCGGTCGGAAGTTGGAGGAAGTATGCCCGGAGAAGTCCCCACGGGTTCCCAACTTCGTAGTGACTTGCATCAAGGAGATTGAGAGCAATGAGGAGAACATGTGCACCGATGGACTGTACAGAGCTAGCGGGAACCTGAGCCAGGTCCAGAAAATACGATTAGAGGTGAGTTTCATTTTGATTAAGTCTAGTCTACTATTTTATAAACATGGAAGTTTGGGAGTTTGGGTTAATGTTTGTTACTCTTTCAAGAAAAATAAGTTTATAATATGATATAATAATAATAATCTTTATTTTACTTCTCACAAGGAAAATTACAATATGAAAGAAAATATAAACTTACAAGTTATTCCTTGTGAGAGTCTGGAGTCTGAACTAGGTCCAAACCACAGATCTCCAAAAATATATCTAATTATGTTCATATTATTAATAAGCCCCAAAAAAACGGGTCTTATAAATGTACGATGTCAGCGTTATCGTATCTACTAAATAAGCGAACCGATTATGATGCCGATTTTAAAGCTATCATAGTCGAAATAGTATTATATTATTTACTAAAGTTAGTATTTAGATAGTTAATCAGGAGTTGTTTATTTTTATATTATTTCTAATTTCAGATCGATCAAAATAATATTTCTGTGATGGAGAACAACACGGATATCCACGTATTGACCGGCTCGTTGAAACTGTTCTTCAGAGAATTGAAGGAACCTCTCATACCCTGCGCATTATTCGATAGAATCCTCGCAGCTTGCTGTAAGTATTGGATTCAAATTTACGAACTACTAGCTCGCCTCGGCTTCGCACGGGTGTACATGTATTATATATGTAAACCTGCCTCTTGAATCACTCTACCTATTAAAAAAACGCTTAATAATCCATTGCGTAGTTTTAAAGATTTAAGCATACATAGGTACGGACAGAAAACGACAGCGACTTTGTTTTATACTATATCAAATGAAAAGGTGTCAGGGAAGCCCCACTTCAAAATCTAGTAATTCTAAATATTAAAACACAGAATTTTTATTATTAACAAAAATAGTTCAAATTTAAAATATAGATAGATAGATAGATAGAATATACTTTATTTGCAACGTACAGTAAAGAAGAAGCACAAACAATATAACAAAGGACACATGTATCGTTACAATAAGGCGATAATATATGATGGTATATTAAGGTCTAGTACCTTAATATGGCATCATATATTTTAAATATCATAAATGTGACAAGAATGGGGCTGAGGAGGCACTAAACCATGAAATATATGTGAAATAGTCCTCACGGGAGAGCCCATTCTTTACACCAGAGATTTCGTAAAAAGGTTTCCGCAAACAACTCTATCTCACCTGTGAGATTAAAATTATTTTTCATTTGTTTTGTTTTGTTTCTACGTCAATTTGTTTGCCATACCGATTATATATAACACCTATGTAATGACTATTCAAAAGTGCTTCAATGTAAGTTTATTTGAATAAATGATTTTCTATTCTATTCTATTCTATTACCGTTACTGAAATGTAGGTGTGGATTATTAATAAATGATGGTTGTCACCTTTGTGTTTTAATACTTAGTTTAGTTTGCAATAAATCGGCTATCGGATAACTGCGTTTTATTTGAAGAACATTACAGTTACAAATTCAAATTTGATTTCAAAATTATTTTATTCATGTACAATATTTTAGTCACTTATTCCAATTATTTATTTAGAGTGTGTTTATTATTTTTTAAAAGTGTTAATTTATAATAATATTATTTTATGACATTTATATAATATTGTTTTACAGCAATAAAACCAAAGGAAGCGAAGGTGAAGGAGTTCCGGGATATAGTACAGTCACTACCGCAATGCAACAGGGATACACTGAAATTTCTATTAGAACATCTATTAAGGTCAGTATCAAATTTTTAAACTTATATATAAGTTGTTTACGTGTCATTCAGTAGGTGGTAAGTGTTTAAATTACTATGTTTTTTTCTGATGTCGATTACTAGATGGCGCTAGTAGAAAAATTGAAACGCGCTATAATTTGACTTTTGTTTTACCCATGTATTAGATTTATATTATTTTTAATGTACACCTACGAGCAATCCCTCATCCAATTCAAACTGGGATTGATATTACGACGGCCTGAGCCGAGGTTCGAACCCCTAGCGGTGCCCTCAGACTAAAGTCGTATCCGTCAGGCGGAAGTTGGTTTGTTATAAGTCCTTCCGCAGCTTTGGAGTCCCATCTGCACTCGCCCACTATCGTCCGGTGAAGCTGTAAAGGCCAGCTGCGGCCAACAGCATTAGAAAAAAAAAATTATGTGGTCACTATATCGGTCGAACCGGTGATGAATATACGCAATGAAAATAGTTGCTTTTTATTGTAGTTCCTCTATAGTAAATTATTTTAATTTTAGACTAATGTACTAATCGATCAAGTTTTTACTACACTTTGTATAAATTCGTCCTTTTTTTTTTTACAAACCTTTGTCTCACATATTTTAGTTGCCAAGTAGCTTCTTTTATAGGTATCGTTTCCTTGGATTACCAAGTATAGTGGCAAGACCTTAAGAATGGCAACACATAATAGAGTAATATTACTAATACAGTGGCAAGACCACTTAGTCCTCGAGAATAACAACATATAATGGCAATGGCATCCATAACGACACGACATGCCGTCGTTTGCTGACGCTTACGTAAAAAAATATGATTACTTACTATGATTATAATAAACTCAAGATAATTCACACAGCGTCATCTATGAAGCAGAACTTGTGTTATTGGTATTAAACAACTGATACAAATACTTAAATACATTATTTTTTGTAAATACATACATAATATACAAGAGAATAATGTACATTTCTATAAAGACTTCACACACAAAAGTACTATATACTATGCTATTTAGGAATTCTACAGCAGTATTTCCGCTTCAGTCGCTGTAGCAGTTTCGTAAAATGTCATATTCCCCATTAAATGTTTATTGCAGGTGTTTAGTATCATACTTGTCAACAATTCGAGTGTGGTATTTCGTGAATTGAATATTTTATGGTAATGATTCAAAGAAAACGAGTAAAACCATAATAAAACGCACCTAATTTGTTCAAGTGGATAACATAATCTTGATTAATAGAATTAGGATACTGTTTCGTATGATGATAATTAAGATTACTGATGGATAATGATAACTGTGACCGAAAACGGACATGTTACTTCATAGATTTGTGACCATGTGACTGCGCAATGTGTTGCTGTTTCTGAGGACGAGCTAAAGAATCCATATAGATATATCAGCTTCCAAACTACTAGTTAACCTTTCGAATGTCCGTCATCTGTCGTAGCGAGCGAAAATGAAGAGGCGGCATGCACGCGCGCCAGCAGTATTTTTTCAAATGCGTTTCAATCTTATTTTGTTTTACATAAGGATAAAATTGATTAAAAAGAAGTCGTTTCATAGATCTTAAGACGGTTAAGGTTTAAGAGTTTCGTGCTGTTTCTGACATAACGAGGATAAAGATATATCAGATTAAAAAACCTTTCGAATGTCCGTCATCTGTCGTAGCGAGCGAAAATGAAGAGGCGGTATGCACGCGCCAGCAGTATTTTTTCAAATGCGTTTCAATCTTATTTTGTTTTACATAAGGATAAAATTGATTAAAAAGAAGTCACGGTTTTGTGGGCACAGATCTGTAACAAGACGGTAATACGATTCGATAATTCGAAGGGTTAAATCCAAACACAACTTGCAAAGTAAGCTGCTTGACTGCAGAAATGATTGATATAAAGATATCCATGAAAACGAACGTACAAAGTCATCTAAAATTTCATTCATTCTTAATGTACAAAGGCGATATTTGACAGGAAATGATAATCACGTAAGCATACAGATGCAAGATAAGCTATTGTGTATATTAAGATAGCATTAGATTCCAAATGTAAACAAATGAAAAGGTTTCTTATCGAATTATGAGATATGACTAATTTTCGCAGAGTCTAAGAATTATACATCATAGAAATAATGTGGTTAGTGATCGATCTACACACATAGTCTATCCATTCCGATGAACTAAAATGTCATGCTTCTTATCCTGTAATTTATCTTCTCCCTTCGATTGAAACACAGCTTACAAAGCAAGCTACTTGGCAGCTGGAATAGGTATACACACACAGCAGTATATACACAGGCATACATCTTTTTACAAACTCTACTTCGGTATAATCTAGTAAGAATAATTAAAAGTATCCGATGTTTACTGAATATTACGTTTCAATGGCAAAATAACCAGTAATAAGTTTCAATCTGTATCTGGTACTAAAAGGAGGCAACGCTTAAGTTAATTTTAACTGTTTGAACTATTTCAATATAAGCACGCCTAGATAACTATATTCAACAATTTTCTAAAACAGCTTTTGATATTTTATAAAACACACACACATTCACTCTCTCTCATAAATTATAATTATCATTGTAGACTATTTTTCCTGTATAGACAATATCTTATACAACATTTGAATGCTTACTTTTTTTATTAACTTTAAATATCCAATAATTATGTTCTTACAAAGAATTTTTGTTTAAATGTATCTTGTTCTGAAGAGTGTATTTAAATTCAATACTTTTTTATAAATTCCTGCAATTGTTTACTATCGAATGTTATTGTTATCATATTTTTTTAATTCTTCAATAGTTTGAAATATAATTGATTATATAACAACTTGTGTTTCTTGATGCAGGGTAACGCAGTACAGCGAACGTAATCGTATGCACACTACAAACCTCGCAATAGTGTTCGGACCGACGCTTCTCTGGGCGCCGGCGGAACAGGCCCACAACATAGCCATCGACTGCATACAACAGAACAACGTAGTGGAGTTCCTACTCAACGAATTCAAAGACATATTCATCGAGGAAACTAAAGGGAAGAAGAAAGTGTGACTCTAAATGCACCGGCGTTCCCGGACTGAACTTTGAGCCCCAAAAAGCTACTCTTTTCTTAGTAAACAAAGGAGTGTATTTACTGTGTAAAACGAAAATGAGTATGGATGTGATAGATGATTATTTGGTATCAAACATCCGAATGAAATATTGGCTCCAATCAAATGTGAAGCACGACTATGTCTATATAGTTGTGTAATTCAGGTATAACGGACATAAAGTGATAAAAATGGTTTCAGAGTATCAAGTAGGGCTTTATTTTGTAATTAGTGAATAGTGGATTGTCTATATGGATGATATTGTGATATGCTACGAATCATGTTTGTATGATAGTAGACTGTTGAAGTCCATTAGAATCAAAGATAATTAATACAATGTATGATTGTTGTATGAATTTATGATCTCTGTCACAATAAAATGCAGAGTCGAAATTTTTTCTTAAAATTATATCATGTTGATTATGAACATCTATATCTGTGTTGTGATCGTGAAGCAATATTGTTACAGAAAGACTGTCCGAGGCTCTAGAAATAATAATATATTCAAATATAGAAATTATATGAGAAAGATATATATTTTAGTATTAAATCAATATGATTTTCGTGTGATTTAGCAAAAATATATCCTGATTTATGAAGATGCATTATTTTCGGGGCCAACTTTGTACAGGTCCTACCACTCGTAGTTTAGGCTCAAAGCCAGCATGTATTGTGTGCCTTAAGCAATGTAAATATTCATCGTGGATGACTGTTGTGATATGGTGGAGTGTTAGTGTTTTTAGTTCTTCATTATTGTAAAATTAAGCGATGCTTGCAAATGTGACGTCTAGTCCCTCCATTGTTGTAAATTGGACACTAACCACGAAGTAATAAGGTTAACAACTCAATGATAATCGGTTAAATACTCAATCATTTAATGTCAATCGGAAATAATAATGTTATCCATCATAATAAGCTAGGAACCAAAGTTTTATATTTTTGGCTGATAGTGTATAATTAATTTTATTTGTTGCATAGTAATTATTATGGAATTATGTAAACGCAAATAATGCTTGAAAAATAAATATTAGAAAATGAAGTTACATGAAATAAAACCATTTATTTTAACATTTCATACTTTTATTTACCATCTATCTTATTAATATTATAAACGCGAAAGTTTCTGAGTATGGATGGACAGATGGATGAATAGACTATGAATAACAAAATCATGATGATGTTAAACTAGATTTTATACCAGATAAAATATACTTAAATCGATAGTACTAAACAGAGTGATTATAACCTCAAAGTTTGTAGGATTTTTCGTGTAAATACTAAATGCGAGAGTTTGCCTGTTTATTACCTTAACGATCTTAATAAAACTTGACGTGAAAAAAGGACGAGAACGGATGAAGTCGAATAATATTCATGTATATTTGTGTCTAATTCTCAGCTGATAGAAACATCGTTAACAAACCTAATTAATCTATAAGACGACGGTAGGCTCGCACTCTATCAATTATCCAACTCAATTATATATCATCATCGATATAATTAGAAAATCGATTAAATAGAAAAATGTTATTTTTCGTAATTAGAAGCTAGAATTGCTTCCTTTTATATAAGTCAATTAAATTAACCACGCCGTCTTAATCATTATCTAAATACTTTTAAAATGATATATAACACTTTGTTAAAACTTTAAAGTAAAATTAAAATTTTAATAAATTTACAAAACTTTAAATGCTTGTGTTGTAAAAAATGTACATTTTGAATAGTGCCATATTTCTATTTAACCGACGATATTCAAACTATGTAATATTATGTTATCTGTGATTCCAACTCATATTTTCAATTCCACCAATTTTTTTTTAAAGGATGATAATGGAATGGTGCACCCGCCTGCGCTAACGGTTTACGCTGGCGGGGCACCAGTGGAGGATGATAGGATGAACATGAAGTCAGATCAGTTAGCCCAACGTGACAAATTCACCGGGAGTGTATCACGATGGTTTCCAGGGGGAACCGCGTGGAGGTCGATCTGATATGGTACATTGTTAGCAATGGGATCATTAGTCCACATTACCCTTCCCCCCTAATTCCTATTAGGATGGGAATATCTACAACAAGGTAAATAAATACACACAAATTATTGCCAGTACTGTATTTATGCAATTAATTTTATTATAATTTTACAAATGACAAATTAATAATTTCAGCTAATCAATTATTTTTCATAATAATCGCAGTCTTATTATTTCTTTACTGGATTTACACGGATAATTTATTTGTTGATTACAAAAACAATAGGAATGTATATGTTCGATACCTAATAAATTAATAAGAAAACATTTGTAGTGAAAATTATACTTAAATTATTGCGTGAAAACTAAAACTAATGAATAATCCTATAATTACATCCGAACAAAAACATATTTTAACAACCAATTTTAACCTAAAAATAAGACTAAATTACGTGGATAGCTTGGTTATGGTATATATATATATAAATATATTCAACAAGATCGCACTTCTCCAAACATTAAACGTAAGGTATAAAATCCACAATACTTATTAAATATTGAACATTCGTTTGATAGCACTCTACTTATGCTGGATTAGTGATAATGTTGCATTGCAAATACCTTATCTAACCATGAATCAAGCATCTCGTTCGATCTTAATTTAATCTTTAACAAATTATAACTAAGTATACACGTAGATAACAATTTAATGATGTAATGAATTTTTTTTATTATTTAATAAAAACATTACAGAAAATAATATCAAATTTATATCAAAATTAGTCTTATTTTGGATATAATACACTTAAAATGTTACATGTTTCATTATGTAAAAAACATTGTATCGTTAATACAATTAATCAGTTTAATGATATAAATAATGAAATATAAATTATTCCGTAGGTATCATTTACGTGTTATCGTTATTACAAATAATCAAACATCAACTAAAACATCTTTCGTTTCATACATTAAATATTCATAAAGTAATAAATATATTAAATAGTTAACATTATTTAAAAAACACTCAAATGTGTACCTTTGAAAATTATTTTAATCAATAGGATCGTATTAATAAAGATATATATATAGTAAAATCATTCATATATTCAATGATATCGACACAATTAATGAAACACAAATTATGTTCGACATAATAAGTCCATAAAGTAATTAAAATATTATCTCCGGCATAATACAACGACAAATATAATTATTACACAATTACATTTTTAATTAAACAACAATTAAAATTAAAGGCGTTATAAATAATAATAATAATTCCTAATTAAAATTTAAATTAATTAATTCGTTTGCAACAAAATCGTGGCGTTTTATTAAAAGCATCTCAAAATTACTTGTCAATATATTATATACTACATATATATTGATGCCAATATATTTTCACAACTATAGTTTACACAATTCAATAAAATGTTATTGCGTAAAGTAATAAATCTATATTTATATAAGCCAGTGTAAAAAAGCTATCTATACCAAAATCGTACAAAGCTCATGTCTTATTTTATTTCTTATATAAAATATAATTTATCGACAGCACCTACACATATATATTTAAAGTTGTTTACTATCAAACATTGTCTATACACAAAAAACATATTATTCTCGATCTCAACGTTCGCTCCCACGTTAGTAAATAGGCTATGATATATACAAAATAAATAAAATACAAAAAAAACTAGTATATAAGTATACTATATTCATTGTATGTGCAGAATAAAGAGTCTGTTATTATTATTTTCCTCGATTTACAAAGTTTTTGCTAGTTTTTTTATTAATATTACTTATTCTCATGCATTATATTTGTAGATACATTAAAAAAAGAAACTGTTGCAAATAAACTTTTATATTCACAAGAGCAAGAAGAAGTATTTTAAAGTTTTTATTTAGAATTTAATTTAAAAATGATAGTCATAACAAATTATAATTAAATAATGAATACTCTGTATATTATATCATTTCCCCTTTACTCGTAATACGAAGATATCTAGTGCTGGAAAGAGTTAAGAAATAAATTATAACATAGTAGTGGTGGCAATATCGATGAGTTCAAATAAATAAATAATCATGACAGGAATACCACTCTTATTTATTTATAAATACGAGTTATATGAAATTTATGAATAGATTCTATGATTAATTATTAATATCGAGCGTATTATTGTTTTTATATCATACCAGATAGCGGGAAAGTAAAATGTTTTATGGCTTTCCTTTCTATATATAGATATCCTTTCAATATTGGTGTAATAAGGTATTATCAAAAAAATCTATTACTATTACAGACGAAGGATTTTGACAAGTCAAATATATATCCTTTTCTACCGCTTTACTATCAGATAGTCGTGGGTTCGGTTCATCGCACGGTACAAACATTTGTATTCATGAGTATGATTGTTTGTATCGTTCTGGGTGTTTTCTATGTATAATATGTATTTATTTACAAAAAAAAATGTATCCATGTATTTATATCAGTTGTCTAGTACCCATAACACAAGCTCTGCTTAGCTTGGGACTAGATGGCGTTGTGTGAATTGTCCTGAGATATTATTATAGATACCTAATATTTTGGACCAATATTGCACTTACTAATTAACATTGCATTACAATTAAAAAACGTTGTAATATATAAGTTTTTTTAACTATTCTAATGGTTCTGGACACAGCTGGTCTTTACCTTTAGCGAACGACAGAAGGCAAGTGCAGATGGTACTCCAAACCCACGGAAGAACTAATGGAGCGGCTGAAGGTAAATTTCTGGCTGATGAATAAGACTTTAGTCTGAGTGCACCGCTAAGGGCTCTAACTTCGGCTCAGGATGTCGATTGTAATTTCGTTTTAATTGAATTTTTAAATTAATTGGACAGAGGATCTATCGGTGGAAGGTAATTAGTGTTACACGACTATATTATAGTAATTAGTGTAATTGCACTGTCGATACATTATATCATATTTTAACATACATAAAAATTACGTCAAAATATAATATTGAACCTATTGTCATTGTATTATATTACATTCATTTTCATTTTAAGTATGTATCTACATACTTTTTAATACAACAAAGATTTTGTTCACATTTGTATGTGAACGGAGAAATTGTGGAGAATGATATAATAATATGTATAACATAAAAAAACATTGTTTTGTCTGAACACAATACTATAAAACAAAATTACATTTGTTCCTCATTTTAGCTCGTTCTTATACGTACACGTTAATAGTTATGTCTATAAATATATATTTATTTACTATCATTAATAATTAATTAGGTTGCAGTTCTAAACATATTTTGACGCAATTCTCATGCACATGTAGATATTATAACGTTAAATTTCTACTTTTCACAACAACACGTCGTACAAAACTTCCTGGATGTACAAATATATAAAAATGTGCATAAAATGTTCCAAAAATGTGTATCAACAATCCATTTGATCCGCGGCTAACCACTACGTAGTATTTTAATAAAAAAAATTACAAATACTAACAATTATCGCAAATAAAAATACAAATCTACTAATCTGTGTACAGGATTAGTCGTAAACCGTATTATACCAAGCTAAAAGTCAGGTAGAATGCTTAAGAATCTGAATACACTATCGACAACAAAAAACGTGGAAATAAATGTAGGTACCTACTTCTCATAGTAAATATATGTTGCATCTATATACTGAATTCTGCCAGTTCAGTATACAAATTATAATATAAAAATTTGACGTTCATATATAGGTGGCAAAATGTCCTACATGAATAAATTATTTTTGAATTTTGAATATTAATCTGATGTGCCCGTGTATGTATTTTTTTTTAATTATACACAGTTTGTTTCTTTTAGATAAATCTTCAGTTTCACAAATACAATACTACTGGCTTTTAACTTAGTCTACACTTTACAACAAGCCCTGTACTCGTATATCGTCTTATTCATAAAAACGCGAAACGTCCAAGTAATAAATGTATATTGATGTTGAGCTGTTCTATCCTTTTCTCTCGAGCTATTATCATAATTGGATTGAAAGGGACAAAATACTTTTTCCAGACGATTTCAGTTTCTTTGAA